GGTTAGAATACGGCGTAAATATACGTTATTTTTGGGTTAGAATACGGCGTAAATATACGTTATTTTTGGGTTAGAATACGGCGTAAATATGCGTTATTTTCGGGTCAGAATACGGCACAAATATACGTTATTTTCGGGTTAGAATACGGCGTAAATATACGTTATTTTCAGGTTAGAATACGGCGTAAATATACGTTATTTTCGGGTTAGAATACGGCGTAAATATACGATATTTTCGGGTTAGAATACGGCGTAAATATACGTTATTTTGGGGTTAGAATACGGCACAAATATACGTTATTTTCGGGTTAGAATACGGCGTAAATATACTTATTTTCAGGTTAGAATACGGCGTAAATATACGTTATTTTCGGGTTAGAATACGGCATAAATATACGTTATTTTTGGGTCAGAATAGGGCACAAATATACGTTATTTTCGGGTTAGAATACGGCGTAAATATACGTTATTTTCGGGTTAGAATACGGCGTAAATATACGTATGCTTTATGATCCTCGAGGCCAACCATACAGCGAGGTGCACGGCTTCACTTGCACTCTCCTTTTCCCTTCATTGCTGTTTTTTGTGAGTTTGTGTGCGTTTGTGTGTGTGCGCTCTCACTCCTGTCAGTCCACTTAAGGGCCTTTGGTTTCAGAGGAGGCCATTGTATTTCCTCCATCTCCTAGCAACCATCACCAAGGCCAGCGGTCCATTGTTGCGGAGGCTGAGCGCCTGAATTGCCTGCTGCCTGTTTCTACTTTTCAAAATTGTACTGTAATTTCACAAAGTGGTGTTTCAGCATTAGAGAGAAGCAGCCTTGCTGCAAATTGGAGGGCTATGAAAATTGGGGTAAGCTTCATTTGGTGGTTTCACATCCATTCGTTCAGAAAAAGCCAGAAAAACGGCGGCGAAGATGCTGAAAGGATAAAAAACAAACACTTATTTATTCACATAGGCGGCTCAACCTATGTGTGTGTGCGTTGTGTGTGAGTGTGTGTGCATACAGAAAACTGGCAGATTAGCAGCTCAAAGTGTAGTGAAATGTACTTTATGGACTGACAGATGAAATGCAGAAGGACAGACAGACAAAGAGCAGACGGGGGAAAATGGAATAAGATATGAACATGAAGTGGGCGGGATTTTGGTGCAGAAAAGCTTTATGGGCTCGATTTTTCTCGTGACGTCACTTTTACACAGTTTCCTTGAATAGCACCTGTGTGCACGGGGGCTGTCTGTCTGTCAGTCCTGAGTAAAAACAGAACCCGTGGCAGCAAAAACATATCTGTCAGTGTTCTCCGCTGGCCAGCCGAGACGCTGCTGTCCTCCTGCAGAGGCCGTCGGTCCTCACAGGTCTTCACAGGTCCTCGCAGGTCCTCACAGGTCCTCAAGGGCTACAGACCGGCCCCTCAACTTCACACCTTTTTAGCATCTTGTCAATCCAGCGTAACAAATATTTTTTTTATAAAATTTTTCCTTTTTTTCCTCAAAGAGTTGCTGAAAATTGTCTTTTTTTGTTCGCCGGCAATCGCCCCTTGCGTGGATGACCCCAGGTGTCTAATTCAAAGACGGTAAGTGGAAACAATTTTACCATCAGTCAAATCTGTCTGCACTTTACATTTGTTCTGCTTTTCTTCTGCCAGAAGATCTGTCGTCTTTTAAACAGCCTCAGTGCTCCTGCTGTCATTTTCACCACTTTGTGCACCAAAGAAATGTGATTCAAGTTTTTATTCCTGTCGCCCGTCTGTGTCACTCACTGTTTTTATTGATTTATTTTAGTTTTTGTGCAACAGGTCCTGTCTGTCTGCATTGCTGTTTTTGTGCTTTTTTAAATGAAATGACTGTAAAATCAACAGATGCAACAACCCGACAAATCTGACTTTATGAATTTACACATGTTTTACTTGCATCTACAGCATGCACACTTAAAGCTGTCCAATACACCAGCTACATTCAGATGTGAAGAAAAGTCTGCACACACCCATACACACATCAGGTTTCATTGTGTTCACACACTGAGCAGTGATCAGGTTTCTGTAAAATCCTTCAGATTTTTCTCATCAGTATTTAAAATCCCATAACTTAAAGACATTTATTCCACAAAATAAACTAATTTAAAAACCAGCAGAGGCAACATGTCGAATGCGTTAGTTATGAGATTTATTACGATTTTTTTTTTGAGTTGGAGACAAACGAACTGATTCTGCTCAAACAGCAAAGATAGTAAAATAAAAGACTCCCATGTTTCTGACACAATGTGTCAGGATTCAAACATTTAAGGTTAATGTTAAAAAGCTTTAAAGTGTGTAACAAGGCAGTTTCTTTCATCTGTCACACAATAGTGCACGCATCGATCAGGGCTGTGACAGTCATAAAATGGCAACGAGCCAATAAGAAACACTGACTCTGTGCTCAGAGACTGTTTCAAACCTTAATATTAATGTTAAACCATTGGTTATCACTGATGAGGTTAAATTAAATAAACATGTGTTTTTCAAATGATGGAAATCATAGAAAAGCAAAAAGCTTCTCGTCTAAAAAGCTTTTATCTTTAAAAATCAGTTTGTTTGGTGAAACAAAAACCCAGTTTGTTTCATTTCTTTAAGTCTTAAATTGCACATAATTATCTTTTCTTTGTGTTTATGTTAAAATATGGTGACAAAATAAAGAAAAGCAACAAAAATTGTTTTATGTTTGTGGAGAAATTTGACTAATTAGTGCATGAATAAAAATGTTAAAGCTGCTTTAAATTTGTATAAACGTTAAACTGTGAGCAGATTTACTGACGAAGCTGCAGACAACAAATCTGATCTTTTCTAGAAACGACCGCAAGCTGAGGGAGGTTTGGAATCAGGTCCCGGCTCGTCAGCTGCTGTTTCCCTGCAGGGTGGTCCGCCTCATCAGATGACCCTGACGCTGACCCCTGACCTCTGAGCCTTCCTGCAGAACATGGCGCCCCTCCTCACCCTGAACCCCTGCACAGGTCCAGGCCCACCTCTGACGACGGTCTAAAGGTGAGCTGGGTTTTAGTTTTTCCTCACCCACAAACAGCAGAGATCAAATCAAAGCCTTCAGTTCAACAGAGGATTTATGAGCGACCTGCAGGAACACGCTTTTATTTTGAAATGCTTCCAGGTTAGATCTGTTCCAGTACAAGGAGAAGGCCGCTCAGCTCTGCCACGGGCCGTGGCCTTCTGCCCCAACACGAGAGGAAGGAGAGGCTTTTCCTAGACGCTGCCACAGTCCCTGTCAGTCCCGAGACCCCCGTCAGCTCAAGGAGACCACCTTGAGTCCAGCTCTCAGCTGAGCGGAGCGAGGACTCCCTCGCCTCTGTGAGTCCAGAGCAGAGTGGAAGACTAGTGATTTTGTTGTTTTACGGTGACACAAACAACAAGTCATTGTCTCCCTCGCTGCTTCGAGGCACAAGCTGCAGCTCAGGCTGAGTGTCTGAGGACTGGAGGGGCTCCAATG